GCCGGGTGCGGTGGCTCACACCTGTTATCCCAGCACTTTTGGGAGGCTGAGGTGGGAGGATCACTTGAGGCCAGGAATTCAAGACCAGCTTGGGCAATATAATGAGACCCCCGTTTCTACAAAAAAATGTATTTAAATTAGCTGAGCATGGTGGTGCACACCTGTAACCCCAGCTACTCAGGAGCTGAGTAGGAGGGATGGGAGGATCACTTGAGCCTGGGAGGTTGAGAGTACAGTGAGCTGTCATCGCTCCACTGCACTCCAGCCTGGGTGTCAGAGTGAGATCTTAGCTCCAAAAAAAGTAGATGAAGGCCGGGGGTAGTGGCTTACACCTGTAATCCCAGCACTTAGTGAGACTGAGGTGGGCAGATCACTTGAGGTCAGGAGTTCAAGACCAGCCTGGCCAACATGGTGAACCCCATCTTTACTAAAAATAAAAAAATTAGCTGGGCGTGGTGGCGGGCACCTGTAATCCCAGCTACTCAGGAGGCTGAGGCAAGAGACTCACTTGAACCTGGGAGGCGGAGGTTGCAGTGAGCCGAGATGGTGCCACTGCATTCCCGCCTGGGCAACGCAGTGAGACTCGGTCTCAAAAAAAGAAAAAAGTAGATGCGATAATCTCCTTTGACAGGTGGGGATAACCATGCTGTAGGGTTGCAAACCCTTAACTGCAACAACGTTTAACTGTTTTGCTGCCAACCTCCCTCTAGATAGGAAACTTCTTACAGATTGTGGAGAGCTGCAGCCAACTCCAGGGTGTCCAGTCTGAGCAGGTGGGTGTCTGGGTCTTCGAGGAGGGGAGGGGACAGGCTTGGGTGAAGGTACATCCTCAAAGCTGTCACCACCTCGTTCCTGCCGGGCCAGGTCTCCCCTGCTGAAGCAGTCAGCCCTGGGACGCCCCGGCAGGCGGAGGACAAGACCCCGCAGGAGTCAAGCTTTGAGGACATCATGGCCACCAGGTCCTCCAACTGGCTCCGGCGGCCTCTGGAGGCAGACGACCAGCCGGAGACCCAGCTGTTCTGGGACAAGGAGCCTTGGTTTTGGCACGACACTCTGACAGAGCAACTCTGGCGGATTTTTGCCGGCGTCCGAGATGAGAAGGCAAAGCCCAGAGACAGACGTGAGCGTCCCTGAGGCTGAGAGGGAAGGGGCGGCCGCAGGCTGCATCCGGGGGCTGTGCAGTGAACCCTGCTGTTCTCTCTCTGTCCCCCTCCTCCTCTCCGTTGTCATAGAGACAGAGCAGGCACCAGGCCTGGTGAGTAAACAACCTCGGCCCTACCCGGAGGGGTGGGCTTCCAGGCAGACAGCTGGGCTCCCCCAGGTCAAGGCACCTGAGGTTCCTGTGCAATTTGCCTTCCTTCCGTCCTGCCCCTCGAGTCGCCCGGGGGGGCACTTGGGTGATCCAGGAGGCTATACTGGAGCAGCCTAGGACCCACAGCCCAGGGCTTCCAGGACCCTATACCCTGACACCTTCTCTGCAACTCTGCCTGGACCCGGAGATGGGACCCCAGGCAGTTGACAAGCCCTGTGCACGCTGCCCAGGAATCCCTGAGGGTTTCTGGTCCTAACAGGCCTAATGAGACTTTTCCATTTCCCAGGGGCAGGAAAGCAAGACGCCGGGATCCTGTGACCCAGGAGCGGACCCGTGTCCCGAAGATGCCTCCAGTAATCCCAGCGGGCGGGGGCCGACAGACTCCAGGCGGGATGGGGTCGGGGGCAGCCTGCGCTTAGGAGCCAATGCAAGTCGCTTAGTCCCTCTTGTCTCCCGACTAGCCCCCAGGCCACCTGAGACCTCCTCCAGCCCCGCCAATGGTTCCCAAGACAGGAACACAAGGTGTCGTGTGGTCCAGGTGAGACCCAGGCCCGAGCTGGTAGCCCAGCATGAAGGCGGCCCGGGTGGGGTAGAGGAGGTGGACACAGATGTGTGGGGAGCCTGGGGGCAGCTGTGATCTCCCCCACCTACAGGAGCCTCCAGGAAGAGCCTCTCCGTTTCTACAGTCCATGTAAGTGTCTGCACTGTTTGCTTTTGGGCGGGGTGAGGGTCAGCGGGAATTCCTTCCTGTCTATACCTCTGTTCCCGGCACATAGAGGGGAACAGAGGTGTCATACTTTCTTCCCCCTTTCCCATCACTACTCTGCCATCCTCTCCAACAGCAGCTGCAGAGGCTGGGTAGAAAAGTGCAGTGTTAGGCCAGGCACGGTGGCTCATGCCTGTAATCCCAGCACTTTGGGAGGCCAAGGTGGGCGGATCACAAGGTCAGGAGATCGAGACCATCCTGGCTAACACGGTGAAACCCCGTCTCTACTAAAAATCCAAAAAATTAGCCAGGCGTGGTGGCGGGCGCCTGTAGTCCCAGCTACTTGGGAGGCTGAGACAGGAGAATGGTATGAACCTGGGAGGCGGAGCTTGCAGTGAGCTGAGATAACCCCTACTGCATTCCAGCCTGGGTGACAGAGCGAGATTCCATCTCAAAAAAAAGTTCATTGTTAGGTTCACAGGATTGTCACCCCAATACCGAGCTCAAGGCATTTGGGGAAGACATTTTCATGGAAGGGGGTGGGGTGTAGCTGTGTTAGAACTGGATGCAGATTGTTGCAACCTTGTGGAGTGATGCTGGGAGAACCCAGATGGGGCAAAGAAAGCTTTTCTGGGGAAGGGGCATAATAGCTAGGACCCTAAAGGATGAATAGGAGTTCTCCTTCCTGGGGCAAAGCAGTCTAGGAAGAAAGCAGAAGTATACGGAGGGCTGTGGCAAAGGGACAGTACTTGAAGGAATGTGAGCAGGACATTTGGGGAGTCTGAGGGTAAAACAAGGCCTTGAGAAGGGGGGATCAAAATCTGAAAAAGAATGAAGCCCCTCTAGGCCTTGATGTGTGGCTCCCACCGGGCAAAGGGGGCTCACAGGCAGGTCAGTTACCCTGAGGCCTCCCCTCCCAAGATCCTGGGACCCTGAGGACTTTGAAGATACGTGGAAGAGGCCAGATGCCTTGCCCGGGCGGTCTAAGAGACTCGCCGTCCCGTGCAAACTGGAGAAGATGCGGATTTTGGCACATGGGGAGCTCGTGGTCGCCACAGCCATCAGCAGCTTCACGCGGCATGTGTTCACCTGTGGCAGAAGAGGCGTCAAGGTGTGGAGCCTGACTGGCCAGGTGGCTGAAGACAGGTTCCCAGAGAGCCACCTGCCTGTCCAGGTGAGGGCGGCCTTGGTTTCCTGGGGTGCAGGGCTTCTGGGAACAGGGGGTTTGAGGTTTGAGTCTGGGAGAGCCCAGATGGTGGCGAGAGGGCTTCCAGGGAAAAGGGGCATAATAGCTAGGAACCTAAAGGATGAATAGGAGTTCGCTCTCATGAGGCAAAGCAGTCCAGGCAGAACGCCACAGGGGGCGACAGCTCACGGTGACTCTGCCCATCCCAGACCCCTGGGGCCTTCCTGCGTACCTGCCTGCTGTCCTCAAACAGTAGGAGCCTGTTCACCGGTGGTTACAACCTGGCCTGTGTGAGCGTGTGGGACCTGGCGGCGCCCTCCCTGCACGTGAAGAAGCAGTTACCCTGTGCAGGTCTCAACTGCCAGGCCCTAGATGCCAATCTGGATGCCAACCTGGCCTTTGCCAGCTTCACTAACGGCGTGGTCAGGATCTGGGACCTGCGGGATCACAGTGTGGTCAGGTGTGTTTGAGGGGTGGGCAGGGGCAGCATCCTGTTTCCAGCCTCCTGTGGCCACCTCCGCCCACCTTCCTGCCACCACCTCTGCCCACCTTCCTGCTGCCACCTGAACCTGGGATATAGCACTCTCCCAGCCAAAGCCCCTTGCCCCCTTGAACTTGCATTTGAGAAAGTTGGAGGGTGCGGACTTGACTCTTGGCTGGAGTGTATTCCTTGCATCCCAGGGCATTTTACTTTTTGTCTGCCTCAGTTTCCCCACCTGGACACAGGATGTGACAGCCCCAAACTCAAAGGCTTGTTAGAAGTGCAAATTTGTTGTAAAAATATAAAACAGCAGGCTAGGCGTGGTGCCTCAAAAATGTAAACCCAGCACTTTGGGAGGTCAAGACGGAAGAAATGCTTAAGCCCAGGAGTTCGAGATTAACCTGGGTAACATAATGAGACCCCATCTCTATTTAAAAATATGTATATCTAAATTAGCCAGGCACAGTGGCTCACACCTGTACTCCCAGCACTTTGGGGGAGGCCAAGATGGGCAGATCACGAGGTCAGGAGATCAAGACTATCCTAGCTAACACGGTGAAACCCTGTCTCTACTAAAATACAAAAAAATTAGCCAGGCGTGGTGGTGAGCGCCTGTAGTCCCAGCTACTCGGGAGGTGAGGCAGGAGAATCGCTTGAACCCGGGATGCGGAGCTTGCAGTGAGCTGAGATCTGTGCCACTGCACTCCAGCCTGGGCGACAGAGCCAGACTCCATCTCAAAAAAAAGAAAACAACA